TAGTAATATTTTGATTCCGAAAATTTCTTTCATTAATTCACTTATCTAAATCCACTTAGTTATATTCAAACTTTCAAAACAAATTAAATCCAGCTTCACCCAGCCGGGAATGACATTTTTCATAAAATTTAAAAAAATAGTTAAAGGGATCCCTAAGTGCTCCTAACATATGATCTCATATGAAAGAGCATAAAAAAAAAATATGTAAGTTTTTTTTCTTTTTCGCTAAATTGTAATAATAAATGCATGCTAACAAAAAGCAATTGCCGAAATCACTAAAAAACAACTCCATTTTGATTTTATTTTTTCACCATTGAAACTCGATTGTTAGTCGTTAAAAATCACGTTAGTACGTCACAACAACTTTAGAATATCTACTTCGATTTTCAAGTGATTAATAAGTCAAGTTTTAATCGTTGGTTTTGTAAAAATCACTGATCTCAAAATAATAACTGGATAGCGCATTCGGAAAAATTTTTGAAGCCAGTTTTGGCCTACCAAGATGGCGGCGTAGTTTGCCAACGGTTATAGAAGTACCGTTTAAAAAATCAAAAAACCTTAAGCGTAATCGATAAAGATAAAATTTTAAACACAAATAAGGTTTTTTTTTTTTAAAAAAAACAATTTTTAAAAATAAAAGTAGGTATATATATAATATATATATATATATATATATATATATATATATATATATATATATATATATATATATATATATATATAATATATATATATAAAATATATTTATACATATTCATAAAAAATATATATACATTGCTTAATATGAATATTATTTATCCTAATATATATATAATATATATATATTAGGAAAAATAATATTTATATTATGCAATATTTATATTATGCAATATATATATATTTTTTATAAATATGTATAAATTTATTTTATTATAAGATAAATAAAATCCTTCAAAAAAATTTAATAACCAATTTATGTACCTTTTAGTTCTTAATTATCTTATGCTGTGTGCTAGAAGGTTAATAACACAACTGCATGATAGGCAGCTTAGTATCTGTTTAATATGAATTAGTCTTAAAAAAAAATTGTTTTAAACAGATACTTGTAATGTATATATGCTGCATGAACTATTAGCTGAGCTCTGTGAGTACACACAACTCAGAGGTTCCTTCTAGAGTTTGTTATCATTAATTATTTTAGTTTAATTTTAATAGATTTTTCTTTTAATACAAATAAATATACTTACTATATACACACACATAAATATACTCACCTAGTACATTTAAGTGAGTATATCTATATATATATATATATATATATATATATATATATATATATATATATATATATATATATATATATATATATATATATATATACATATATATATGTTTTGTGGATATACCATCAAGGTGTTTAATGAACAGAGCTATAATATAGAAAATAATAAAACTATGTGTTGCAATCATCGGGTGAAATACTTTTCATTTTTATTTCACCTGATGATTGCATCAGCATGAAACTTAATGTTGTAATGTTGTAAAATTTGCATGAAATTCGTTTTATTTTCTACTATATATATATATATATATATATATATATATATATATATATATATATATATATATATATATATATATATATATATAAATAAATGTTTGTATGTATATTATATATATGCATATATAATTCCTGATAAGTTGTAACCTTTAAGTGTCGGAGGAAATACTGGAAGTTCAATTTTTTAAAGGTTTGAGTTATCAGGAGTTTACTGTGTATATATCGATGACATAGTGCACAGATGTGGTAAGTGCAAGATTAAAACTGTAGAAACTGTCATTTGTGCGCGTAATTATAATAAGAAGAGTTTTTGTATTTACCACATTGTCAATTATTAGACTCTTTATCGTTTATCCTACACATACCATATTTATTCACAATAAACTATAAATAAAAACAGGTTTTTCTGTGTACTTATCTCAATTTGACCAAAATTTGTACTTACCATATCTGTGCACTAAAATGGTATACTAAAAACAAATGTTTTCATTGATTTTTGAATAAGACAAATTTAATCAACTGCTTCCTAAACTTTTTTCCAGTCAATTTGTTAGTTACTTCTTTGCATTGGTGATGAAAGTGTATTTTTCAGTAATTTTTTGAAATAACTTTAATCAATGAGAATAAATGCTTATCAGTTAAAGACGAATCTAGCATATGATGAGTTAGTTCTGTGAATACTTTTGATATATCAACTGATCTCAAAACAACACTTGCATTTGCATTTTTAATTCCTATATCATTAGGGAGGGTAATATTTGTTGATGTAAGAAACCTTTGGAAACATCTTTCTGTTCCTTCGCATACCAAAACACTTTTGCTTGGTTTAACTAAACCTCCTCTAGAGAATTTATTCTCAATAAAATGTAACATACATATGTTACATCTTTACATACTATGTATGTGTTAAACTGTCAATAATTATCCTTCAAACTTTGAGGAATAATTATTCACAGTTGAGTTTGACAAGAGTTAGACTTTAAATCTAAGTCATTGAGAGATAATTTTTTACTTTGGAATATAAATATTGTTTTATATTTTCACTGAATATTGAGTCCAGAAAGTTAATGCATTAAATAATAAAATGACTTTTATAATCCTAGAAGGAACCTCTGAGTTGTGTGTACTCACAGTTCTCAGCTAATAGTTCATACAGCATTTGTACAATAATGTTTCTACCTACAAAACTCATGATTTTAAAAGATAATTTTTTACTTTGGAATATAAATATTGTTTTATATTTTCACTGAATATTGAGTCCAGAAAGTTAATGCATTAAATAATAAAATGACTTTTATAATCCTAGAAGGAACCTCTGAGTTGTGTGTACTCACAGTTCTCAGCTAATAGTTCATACAGCATTGGTACAATAATGGGTCTACCTACAAAACTCATGATTTTAAATTTCTTTAAAGATTGTAGGTAGACATCGTTGCTGCTTACCATACAGTTGTGTTATTAACCTTCTAGCACACAGCATTGGGTAATTAAGAACTAAAAGGTACATAAATTATAAACCTCATTTAAAAAGTGTATACTAGCTGAATATTTTAATAATTAGGAATCAAATAAATTTATTTCGCCATCTTATTTTCCTTAAAAATAGTTTACTTTTCTTATTCGGTCAGAATTTTTATACGATTCAAACCGCTAACAGTTCTAACCGACGCCATCTTGGTAGGCCAAAATTGGCTTCAACTTTTTTTAAGAAAAACAATAGAATACGCTATCCAGTTATTATTTTGAGATCAGTGTGTAAAAATAGTAGAATAGAATTAGGTTGAAAGACGTCATTAAAAAAAAGTCATTAAGTAATAGTGATTTAAATAGTTTAGAACTTATATAAAAGTTTTAGTTTAATTTCTAATAAAATGTCTATTCAACCTTATCAATTTGAACCAAAAAAAAAAAGCAAAATTAAGATAAATATTAATTTAACTAAAACTAACTCCAATTGTAATAATTTGCTTCAAATTGAGCGTGATATTCAAGAGACAAAAATTAATCGCCTCTATACTGGCGTTGAAAACTGGTGTAAATGCGGAAAATGTGTAACAATGCCTTATCAAAAAGAGTGTCTGTGTTGCACTGAAGTTAAAGAAATAATGATCGGAACAGGTTTTTTTATACTTTATACTATTATTTTATTTCGTGTCAACTGTGTATAAAAAATATACTTAAATTTATAAATTATAACTATTCTTTTACTATCAATAAAACATTTATTGTAAAAATAATTATGTTTTCAGATCAGAAGTGTATAACGGAACAAACTTGACATCGCTATCCACTTTGGATAGCGATGTCAAGTTTGAAAGATAGAGAAGGATCGTGGATGCCATCAACATTTGAAAAAACGTCCAATAGGTACTTGAAAAGAATTGAGAAAAATAATTTTTTAAACAGAATAAAATTATTATATTTTGAAGTTGGTATAGTCTAGCGAAAAATAAAATATTTCATTAATTTAGACATTTTGTAGATAGTTAATAGATAATTTTCCGTTGTTTATAAAGTATTATTATTATTTAGTTATTATAAATACTCTGTATATTATTAATATACACGATGAATTATTTTATACAATTTTTTATATTTTAAAAAATTATTTACTGCATTTTGTCGAAAAATATAATATCTTAAAAATTGTTTAGAAGTTTATAAGAAATCTTACTCTTTCTTTCTAGATCTTTTAGATATTCCGCTTACCGACAGTTTACTTGGTGGACCTATAGCAAACTTGGGAAATATAATAGGAAAATCATCCCGGCATGTGTTGTTTGTGCAATACGACAACGCTTTCCTGAAGAAAATGGTGTTTACACAAATTTCAATGATGAAGAAGAAAAATCTGAAATTGTGGAAGCTTGGGAGTATATTGGAGGGTTTCAACTCGATGAATAATTTAACACATAAAACGGCTATTTTTATAGCCATGCATTAAAATCAATTACGGCACACAGTTAGAGTAGCCGATTTGTTTTATTTATCTGCTTACCGAATACGTCTTCCGATTAACAATTCGAGAAAGTTTTTTTTAAGGTCCCCCCCCCCCCCCCTCCTTCTTAAAAAAAAAAAAACTTTATTCAAACAAATTCTTTTTTTTCTGAATTACTTTTCAGCTTTAGTTTAGAAGCGGTATTAAAGTGTTTTTCAATTAATCCAAATCTGGCCGCTTAGATCAAGAATAAATAAAAACATTTTGATAGCATCTTTGACTTGGATTTCTAAAAAAAGTGCAAAAATCTGAAAGTCAGATAGTTAAAAAATTTTATTTTATTCCTACTCTAAAATAATTTATTTTTATTATAACACTATTTTGAAAACTTAATTTTAAACTAAATTTAGAATTTTAGGAACAGCTAACAAATCAATGAAAGCTACAAATAATTAATACGTAGGTAAAATGTATAAGTTAATGTAAAACGTAGGCTGACGGAGATACATTAAACAATTGCAATGAAGTTAATGTTTCAGTAAATTTTAATCACAATTCATATATCAATATATCTAATGAAAGTGATGAAACAGCTGGCAATAATGATTTACTTGAGGATGATTATGATGACGATGATGAGAAACATTGTAATGATCCTGAAGATATTGAATACATTGATGACTATGATTCAGAATACACCCCTACTTCATCAGATGAAATGGATACCGATAACGAATTAAACACTACAGATTCAAAAATAAAAAGAGAGTGTAACGATCGATCGCTATTTGTTTACGAAAAAAATTTATACGAGCTTTTAGCACATTGTCCAAAGTGCGGCGCTTTCGTTGATCGATCTATGATAAAAGAAGTTAAAAATAACGGCTCGCAGCTTTGTTTAAAATTTACCTGTTTTAACGAGTGCAAGGTTGAATGGAGTTCACAACCAACAGTGGGACGGTTAAAAGGTTTAGGCAACTTATTTATCTCTTCCTCGATAGCATTTTCAGGAATACCGTTTGCTAAGTTTCAACGGTTTGCTTATATTGTAAACTTAAAGTTGTTTTCAGATGTTACATATTACGAGATTAAAAAGAATTATATTGTGCCAGTTGTACGTCAAAAGTGGAATAGCGAACGGCGAAAGATGATAAAGTTGTCTCTCAGTAGAGAAAATCTTTTACTTGTTGGCGATGGGAGATGTGATAGCCCTGGCCACAATGCAAAATATTGCACATATACTTTTTTAGAACTCGAATCTGGGTGCGTTGTGGATACAACTTTCATCCCTGTGACAGAAGTCACTAATTCCAACTGTATGGAAAAAGCGGGTTTTATTCATCTACTAAAAAAATTTAAAAAAGCCGGATTAAATATCAGTGTAATATCAACAGATCGTCATCCACAAATCCGTAAAGTCTTTAAAGTGGATCCAAGATTTAATGACATAAACCATCAGTTTGACCCATGGCATGTAGCAAAATCAATCAGAAAAAAAATGATGAAAGCCTCTAAAAACACAAATCTAAAAGATCTTCATGAGTGGATACCAGCAGTAATTAATCATTTTTGGTGGAGCATTGAAACCTCAAAAAAAAATCCGCAACTCATGTATGAGAAATTTTGTTCCCTACTATACCATATACGCAATATACACAAATGGGGTGGTTATAAATATTTCAAAAAATGTGAACACGAACCTTATTCACATCAAGAAGAAGAAGAAAGAAACTGGTTGGACGCCAGTTCCGATTCTTTTAAATATTTAGTTAAGATTGTTAAAAATAAATCTTTAAAAAAAACGATGAAACACTTAACTGAGGCAGTTCACACATGTGCTGTTGAAGTTTTTAACAATTTGTTATTAAAATATATTCCAAAACAATATCATTTCGAGTATGAGCACATGGAGATGGGAGGACTTCTAGCAGCCCTTGATCATAACTTTAATGCTGGGCGTTTTTTTGCGTTAGATTGCAATGGCGATGTAAAATATCGTGTTGCATGGAGAAAAGCAAGCAAAAAATTTATTGCTCGAAAAGTTAAAAAACATAAACGTTATGACTACCTTCTAATAATGAAAAAAAGTGTTTTTAAAAGAGCGGAAACTGGAGCGCAACGTACCAGTAAAAAACGTGTAACGGCGCCTACACCTATAGAAACAAAAAATAACTTAATAGCAAGAAGCAAAAAAGTGGCCAGATTTAGTTATTGAATAATTTAAGCAGAGGTGAAAATAACTTATTACTTGTTCGCGTTACTTGCGTTATTTGCGTTGTAGATAAGATTTTTTTTTTTTGCGTATTACTGCTTTTTAAGTATTTTTATTAATTTGTAGTTTTAATTTTACTTAAATTTTTTTAAAAAGTATATTTCTCAACATTTTAAATCTTATACAATACAGAGTTAAAAAAAAATATTGCATATTACAGTTCACAAAAAGTATGATTTAATTTTATTAGTTGATGAAAAATCGCAGGCGTTTTATAACTTGATTTCCTTATAGTTTCATGTTTTAAATGAAGTTACGAAAAAATTAAACGTGCGCGTTCCTTAAAAAAAAATGTCAAAGGTGAATCTAGATGAGTGCATAAACAAAAACTACATTTAAATTTTTTTTGGATAATTATGAAATATTTAAAACGCTCTTTTTCCAAGGCCTAATAACTTGCAAGCACTTATGCAGAGCCGGATTAGCCATTTCGTAGGCCTGGGGCAAAACATAATATATTTGTGTTAAATAAATATAAATTTTTTTAAAAATTAAAGCCACAAATAGTGGCTTTAATTTTTAAAAAACAGGAGAAAAAATAACTCGCGTGAGTGATTTATTTTTGAAAAAAGAGGTGCGCTGAACGACAAAGTTTAATAGAGTGAAAGATTTAATAGGGTTTACACTCCAAAGCTGGAAAATAAAAAGATGCGGAAGATGGACTAAAATCTATATCATATAATATTGCTAAAAAGAATTTTGTCACGCTGTCTCATTTTTGTCTAATGACAAGTTTTAAAGTTATTCTGCCCCGCTGTTTTCTTTTAAAAGAAAAGTTTTTCTTCCATCAAAATGTTTAATCGCTTTCATGTTTTTTTAACTTACGTTACATGAAAATTGAAAAAGTTCCTTAATTATATTCTGGAAATATATATATATATATATATATATATATATATATATATATATATATATATATATATATATATATATATATATATATATATATATATATATATATATATATATATATATATATATATATATATATATATATATATATATAAATATATATATATATAATGGCCAACAACAAGCTGAACATGTTTGCTCCATGATCACGTTAAAATAATTCGGATTATGCACATAAATTCATGGTTAAGAAAACATTTTACAATGATTATTTTTTTCATCAAGCGACAATGAGAATAACTGTCATTTTCGGAACTATAAAAATGACAAAAATAAATTTATTTTTGTACTAAGGAAATATTTTAAATAAACTTTATGTGTCTAGATCAATATTCGTTTGTTAAAAAATGACTAAAAAAATTCGATTTCTATTTCATTTTCTGCCGTGGAATTGCCCTTATTACACAAATTTACAAATAAAAATTAAAAAAAAAAATTTGATTTACAAATATATTTTCACAAAACGCTACAAAACTTAATCTCATAAAACTATTTAACGACTTTACTTTTAAATTTAATTACCATCTAATATGTTTGCAATAATAACATTTTGTCTACTTTGTTCAATATGACGTACAAACGTTAGTTTTTTGAGGCAATAGAGTTAATGAAATTTTGGACAAGACGCATTTTTTTTAATCGAAGAAAAGCGTTTTTTTGAAAATTAAATTTGTGAGTGTGTGTTCATTACTACGTTTTAGAATGAATTATATACAAACTTTTTTTTTTTAATGCTATTTTATATGAGATCATAACTTTATAGCACTTAGGGATCCCTTTAAAACTTAAATCATCAACATAAGATAATTTAGTAATTGGCTAAAAAATATAGGATCAAAACTTAAATAGGCATTTGTATGACATATTAGCGTTGCAGTGAGTAGAAAGGGAGAACTTACTCCGCATAAAACTCGACATAATCTATATGCTACTAGTGTATGAGAATTAAATTTTTTAATATCTAAATTATTAACATTTTCATACCATAAAAATTGTATGAAATCGCAATACTATTTAGTTACCGAAAAATTAAAAAAAAACTTTTTCTTTAATTTTCAAAACATAATACTTCAATATAAAATCCTTATTTAAAATCTATTGGTTTTCAATTTTTAATTTTTTACATAAGGAGTAAAGTAACTTGATTGGAAACATTTATCAAACAAAAGATAACCATAGTTTCATTTATCAAACAAAAGATAACCATAGTTTCATTTATCAAACAAAAGATAACCATAGTTTCATTTCAGCAACATTAGCAATTGCAGTTAACTCACCTGTTAATTTATCAAACAAAAGATAACCATAGTTTCATTTCAGCAACATTAGCAATTGCAGTTAACTCACCTGTTAATTTATCAAACAAAAGATAACCATAGTTTCATTTCAGCAACATTAGCAATTGCAGTTAACTCTCCTGTTAATTTAACAAATTTTCTCATTGCAAATAAAAATATGGTGTACTTAAAAGATCGACTTTTCTACAACTTGATCTACAATTTTTACCCGAACAGGCAACTAAAACAATAATTAAAATATTTTTCCTAGCTAAAATACCGGTTATTAAATTATGATTTTTACTATAAATTTATGATTTTTAAACAGTAAATACGCGTAATTAAAAGTTTTGAATGCGGAAGTTATTTTGTTTATTAAATGATTAAACTTATTACTATTAATTAAATTAAAAATCTGTTAAATTAGTGTATAAAGTATTTGCAGATATTGCGATTCTAAACGTTTCATAATTGCAACGTGTATTTTCTCTTGTACTAATTTCGTTATTAATATTTTGTAATATCATTTAATAGTGATTTCCGTTTAATTCCCAATTTATAATTAAATTTAATTATTTTAAAATTTTTTCTAATAAAATAAGGATTAAATTTGAAATGTACACATTTCCTTCTACAGATAAATTTTCCAAACTTCAAATTTGTATTTCGATTGTATCAAACATTTTTCTTAACTCATATCTTTGATATCCAGGGCCATCCTAGGAGGGGGGGGGGGCGTAGGAGGTACAGATATCATTAACTATTTCGAGAGACATTAATTTATTCATATGAATGGAAATAAGTAATTGCTTATTTGAAAATCTATCTTTTAAAACGTTTAAAGTTACCAAATAATTCTCGTTAGATAAAGGTAGTCGTTTAATTGCATGCTCGATCTTTTACTAAATTTCTAGGATATGTCATTTTTTCAAATATAAGATAATTCTGTATTTCTTATTTATTGAGCAATCAAAATTTTCATAAAAAGTTTGCCAATTTTCTTAATTATCGTCAAAAGTGTCTACTTTAAGAGCTGGAAGTATAACTGGCTTGCAAATGAACTTATTTGAATTTATATTCTCTACATTATTTTTCTTTAATAAAATTTTTTATATTTAAAATGGATCGCTTATAATATATGGTAAAGTCTGTACTCGTAATTTGACTTGTTCTAACTCCTCGCCCGCCTCAATCAATAATGACATTAGTGAAAAATATTTTAAAATGTCAATAAGTGACATTTTAAAATATTTTTTGATGGCTGTATTTTTTAAATCATCGATAATTGATCAAAATTAATAGTAAAAGTAATTCTTAATAATATTATATCTTTGACTCTACAAATAATTAAAGATTTAAACAACTTTTGTTAACTTATATATTTTTGTTTTTTTATTGTTCTTATTTTTTGTAAATAACTCCTTATAAACTTAATTCTTAATAATACCTTAGGGATCGTCCATAACTTACGCAACGCTAAATAAATTTTTAAATAAATTTAGCGTTGCATAATTTATGGACGATCCATTAAATAAACTTATTATTAGTTGAAATAGTCTATAAACATAATATTGCTAAATTAAAATCTCGTAACTCAAGTTTATTTTAAATTAATACCAACAAAATTTTTAAATTTTATTCAAAATGACAAATAAAATAATTATTATTTATTATCTTATAAATACTGTGTATAAATAATATTTAATATTTACTCTGTATAAATAATAATTATTATATTATAAACACTGTGATAGATTAGGAACAACAATCGACAAGCATTCCAAAAGTTACAACGTAATTTCAATTAAATTTTAACCTATATTTCCAAAAAAAAAATTTAATAAATAAAAAATTCACTTAGCTAGTTTATTGATCCCTTGATTCTATCTTTATAGATCTCGATCTTGATTTGTAGGGCTTCTTTAATTCAACTTAAAGTCTCTGTCGCGGACTTTAAATTATTTTATGAAAAACTTGAACTTATTCTCTCTGTAGTCTTTATGTAGTTTTACGTAAAAGTGGAATTGTAAAACGAGTTCAATTTGTTTATAATAATATATTAATATGCAAGATATTTTAAACACAAAGAAGAATTATCGAAAAGTAACAGAGTAGAGTGTTCGTATCTGTTGATGCTTGATAGCTGAATACGAGCGAACGATTTACACGTAATCACAATATTTATACTACATATTCCCAAGGGAGAACTTTAACGGTTTTTTTATAAAAATACGTTAAATAAAGATACGTTTGAATACAACTATAAGTTAAATAAAATTTTACTCGATTAGCGCAACACTGTAGTTAGCAAATCTTTATCTATAGTCGGCAAGTTTTTTTAACTCTCGTTAGTCGATAAAAAACAGATGTCACTCCTTCTGCCTGTCAGGTCCCTTTAGATTGCCTATGCACTTTACAACTGGCGCATTATGCATCGAAAAGCGGATATAGGAATTCACTTTTTTTGAAAACATTTTTTCAATGTTAATATTAAAAAATATTTTTTAGTTAGTATTAATTATTTAAAAAAAATACTTATTTCAATTTTTTTTTTTTTAATTATGCCTTTTTAAGGGCAGGATTTTTAGGGGTAAAAGAAACAGGTTTTCAAAAAAACTTTATATTAGATATGATAATTTTCAAATTTCTTAATTTTTTGTGTGCATTTTCAAATAACTGATTTTTTTTTTATAAATTTAAATCCAAGAAAAGAAAAAAAATGTTTGGATTATTGTTTTTGTGTATCCGTAAAGATTGATTGATTGGACCATGTTACACAGGTAGCCAGTTTTTCTATTTATTACAAATTTTCTGCAATAAATTGACTTTTTATAAGTGAAATACTATTCTGGCTACCTATGTAGTAACATGCAATAAAATCAATTCAACTGTAGTGGGTTTTTTTAAAAACTTACCGGTTAGTTAGCTGTTTTTGTTAAGTATGAAAAACAAAACCGTTCCTTTTTTTTTTGTATTTTGTTTTGTTTTTCGTATTTTAAAATGGTTACTTTTAATCTAAGCAAACTTTTGTCTGACGTTTTTTCTCTTTTTTTTTTTTTTTTCATGCTCAAAACATCGTGGTGAGCTGACGCGTTTTGCTTAGCAGAGAAGAAAAAGCTTGCTGGATTAAAAAGGTTTTTTTTACATAATGAATAAATCGAAAAAGTTATCAACAGAATCTTCCATTAATGACGATAAAGAAGTCTCAATAGTATTGTTCGAGAAATATTCAAAGAAATGTTTCAAAAACAGCAAAATGACATTCTTAAACTTATCAGAGGAAACTTAAAATTATCTAACGCACAACGGGCCAGTAGGCGGACAAAATAAGAAAAAATTTAGTTGTCTAATCTTGAAAACTTATTTAATTTTAGTATCTACATATATTAGAAGAAATTTATTTATATTAAATCCCTTAGTTACCAGGACTCTAAGCATTTGAATATTGAAATTAAAAAAAGAAAGTAATTTACGGTGACATTAACGCTGTGTTATATTTCAATTACATCTACGTTTTTGAAACAAATAACTAGTACATGTTATTTTAAGGTATTTAAAGATAAGAAAAACCATTGTGTAAAATAAATATGTCATAGCATGTTATCTCAGTTATACTTTGAAAATCACAGATTAAAAAAAAAAAATCTTCATGAAATCATATAGAAATTTATTCAGCCAAAATTTGCTGAATTTAAAGATTTTAGACATTATGTTCAACGGTTTGTTTACTTGTAGAAAAAAAAGTGGAATTCTGCCAACTATACTGTTAAAAATTTTGAAAAGAAGTTTGTAAATTGACTTAATGAATGATGTCAGAGATGCAAAATTGAAATATTATCCTGCAAATATAACAGTGGAGGACTATTCAGCTTCAGTTCCTTTAAAATATTTAATGATTCATACTTTGCAAGGAACCTGTGCAGTTCAGGAACCTGTGCTGAGGCACTTGATAATGAACGACAAAGCAATAAAAACAATGACACTTACGTGTAAGGCTGGTTTCGATGGTGCTACTGGCCAAAGCATTTATAAACAAGTTTTATCAGAACCTTACATGAACAGAGATTTAAAATGTGAAGAATTATTATTTATAACTTGTCTAGCCCCATTGGATTTGACTGGATTTAACTACATTAACGAAAAGGTGCCTATTTGGAAAAATCAAAAGTTGTCATCCAGAGCCAATTGTAGACCCATTAGATTAGCTTGCAAAACGGAATCCAAGGAATCTGTGATCGAAGCAAATCAGTACATTAAAAGTGAGATAGAAAGCATGGGTATGATTTTATTAAAGGTTTGCGGTTTTTTTATTGAAGTGAATTGTATTATTGAACTTACAATGATTGATGGGAAAGTTCAAACAATATTATCTGAAAAAACTAACTCATACCAATGCTGTTCAGTGTGTGGTGTCTCTCCAAAAAATATGAATAGCCTTGATATCCTTAATATAGATTATACTAACAGAGAATTCAAATATGGTCTTTCCATTCTTCATGCATGGATTCAATTTTTTAAGATGGTTTTGCACATTGCATATAAAAGTAACAAGAAAGTGGCAAGCAAGATCTATAGAACATAAAGAAAAGGCATCTTTAGCTAAACAAAAGATTCAGACTGATTTTATGAACAAAATGGAACTTGTTGTTGATTTCCCTAAAAGTGGTGGTTCTGGAACAAGCAATAATGACAATGCCTCAAGGCGTGCTTTTGCAGCATATAAACAAACAGCTAAAATTCTGGGTATTGATCAAAACTTTATATTCAGATTTTACATTATTTTGGTAACACTCTCTTAAGGATATGAAAAAGACAGCTTAAAATTCAAGGATTATTGTTTTAACACTGTTAGACTATATGCGTCTCTTTATCCATAGTATTACATGGCTCAATCAGTTCACAAAGTATTGATACATGGACATGACATAATTAAAAACCTTACATTACCCATCTGACTTATATCAGAGAAAGCTCAAGAGGTTAGAAATAAAGACTTTAAATCTTATCTATCTATCGCAAAAATTTCAGTCAAAAAACATCCAGAAAAGCAACAAATACTGATCATATCAATAGACTCCTAGTTTCCAGTGATCTTGTTGTTTCATCACTGCGTAAATCAACATCACACCGAACAAATCATGAAGCATTTCCTTCAGATGTTTTACAATTACTTAAACAATCTTTAAACGATGTTATTGTTTTATAATTTTTTAATGTAGTTTAAGTAAATATATAAAAAGCGCAGACATCGTATAAGTACTCATGGTAATTTTAGTGAATATAGCTCCAATATTAAATTAGTTATGAATTTTGTCCAGTAAAAGTGAATTCTGGCCCACTGTTTAACGACAGAATTGATGGCTTGAATGCAGAAATATCATCAATAAAAAAATCGTATTAAACTCTGTTTAATGAAAACGAATCAAGGAAAGTAGAACTTGAAAATGTAAACGAACGACTAAAAAAATATGAATGTGTTCAAAGAGATATTGAAGAGAGTTTTAATTTTTCCTAAGATATTCAAGAGAAAAAAGTTCATGACCTAGAGGAAAAAATTAACAACAAAACAGAAATCGGTCAAACAGAAAAAAATAAAATTAGACTGTTAAAAGACAGGCAAAGAAGAAACAATATACAAATTGATGGACTTAAAGAGAACGAATCGGAAAGCTGGGAAGAAACCGAATTAAAGTCATTAAAGTATTTGAAAACAATCTCAACATAAAAGGAGTTACTATTGAACGGGCACACAGAACAGGAAAAATAAATTAGAAAAATTCGAGAACTATTATAGTTTAATAACTTCATTACTATAATAGTAATGAAGTTATTAAATTATAAAGATTAGATTCAAATATTAAAAAACGGACACAAACTTATAGGAACAAATATTTACATAAACGAGGATTATTCCTTCGATACAATGGTTATACGCAAAAAATTTCTTGAAGAAATGAAAGTCAACAGAAACAACGGTATGTACTCGATTGTTATTTATGATAAGCTAATAGTAAAAAAATTTCGAAAAAATTTTTTTACTATTAGCTTATCATAAAACGCTAAGATTTAATCATTTCAATTTATTATGTTTTTTTTGTCTTTATACTTTTTTATTTATAATGGATTAAACTATAAATTTTTATCAAAACTCACGGTTTAAATCCTTTCAATTAAACAAAAAAATACTTCTAGGTAGTCATTCAGATCCAGATATTAATTTTTATTATAGTAGCGATGAAATGAAAAACATAAGTCCATTATATTACAACTTAAATACTTCAAATCCTGAAATAGATATAGATACATTCTCAATCCTAAATATTAGAAGCATTCAAAAAATTTTGAGAAATTTAAACATTTTTTACTCAGCACAAAAACGGAATTTAAAGTTATTTGCCTCACAGAAACTTGGTGTCACAATATTGAAATTGAAAACAATTCAAATTTTCAGCTGAACTTCTATATAGTTTTAAATGAACCGGGACATATATGCCCCGGTTCATTTAAAACTATATAGAAGTTCAGCTTTTGTTTATATCCGTTTGAAAATAAATAAAAACATTTGTTTCAGAGTTAGGCAATACTTCAAAACCACTTTTTGTCTTATTCGCGGGTTTTTTAAGTTAATTTTTGATATCATAAAACAGTGACAATCAAAATATGTTGCTTAGATTTAGTAAGCTACATTATAATATGTAGTTCTTTAAAGGATCATGCTATACCTTTAAAACTTTTTTTATAAATTATTTAATCTTAGTAGAATAAAAATAATCTACACTTTACATCTGCATTATGATTTTTTTTTTTATTTTTTTTTTTTGGAATTAGTTGTGGGACAAATATGTCCCGTCAGGCTTTTTGAAGTCTTGTATGAAATGTTTATTTTTTGCAATCTTTTAGTAAAAAAAAAGTTTAGTGAAAAAATGAGTCAGAAAAGGTATTATTCTGCTGCTGAAGTTGCGAATATTATTTTAGAAGATATTCCAATAAAAAATTACAGTAATCTGGAATTATCAGATTCTGAGAATGAAGATTTTGTATTAGTAGACCGAATTCAAGCTGAGCAAGATGACAGAGAGTTAAGTTTTGATTCCAATTCAAATAATGAAATTAATAATATAGCATTACTAGATAATTCTGGTAGTTCATATTGCTTCTAACAAAAACAATTTTGTTGTGGATCAAGACAGAAAGTGGAAAAAAAAAAAAAGAAAAAAGGATGATCTTACTTGATTTTTATGAACCTCAAGGTAGGTACTTGATAGATTCCTGTTTGGCATCAAATATCAATAGTTAGAACTTGTTGAATATATTCTATAATTTACATAAATTAATGATTAATCATTGTATCAATTAATGATTAGTAATGATAAGTAAAAGTAATTTTGAATCATTTGTTCATGTACAGGTCCTGTAAATGTTCATTTTGATGAATGCGAAAACCCAGTAGATTATTTTTTGAAATACATTGACGATGAAATTATGGAATCAATTACTTATCAAAGTAACTTGTATATACATCAGTTACAGAAAAAAGATCCAGTGGTAACAAAAAACAGTTTATATGCTTTCATTGGAATCAATATGGTAATGAGGTATCATAAGCTTCCTTCCTGGAGAAACTACTGTAGTAATGAAACCAATTTGACAGTGCCATTTGTTTCAGATATCATTCCACAAAATAGATTTATTCAAATACTTTCAAATATACATTTAAACAACAACATTGCAATACCAGCTGACAATACAGATAAATTATATAAATTGCGTCCATTGATAGACAGTTTGAATAATAACTTTACCAAGTTATACAATATATCGCGTTATCTTAGTATTGATGAGAGCATGGTACTTTTTAAAGGTCGTAGCTCTTTAAAACAATATAACCCTAAGAAACCAATTAAAAGAGGATACAAGCTTTGGTCAATGGCTGATATGGATGGATATCTTTTTAGATTTGAAATATATCAGGGAAAGAACAATAAATGTACTGATCATACAATGCCAAAGTATTTTGGATTAGGTAAAAATGTTGTTTATCAAATGACGAAATCTTTACAAGGAAAATATCTCAAGGTTTAAATTGATAACTACTTCACGTCTGTTCCTCTCATGGAGTATTTATTCTCACATTATGCTATGTGTTGTGGAACTTTGCGTATCGATAGAAAGTATCTGCCTAAAAATTTATGTAAAGATAATAATTTGAAGAGCGGGGACTTTGATTACAGAGTTTCTAAAGATAACATTGTAGTTTATAAATGGATGGATAATAGACCAGTGCATGTCATATCAAACTTTTATGGCACTGAAAAAACAGAGATCAAACGAAAACTTAAAGATGGCAGTATTGTGATGATCTCATGTCCTCAGGCGGTAAAAGACTATAACACTTATATGGGGGGTGGGGGTGTTGACAAAGCTGATATGCTTTGTTCTCTTTATGGCACATCCAGGAAATCTCTAAAGTGGTGGCACCGCATTCTTTTTGGCGACCAATTTCATCAAATTGATCATGTCAGTTGTCTACTAACAAAAGAAGAATATCAAATTTTTCTATTCCGGTATCGATTCGGGACATATCTGTCCCGTTATAGTTTCCATGGCAACTAAAACGAGGGCCAATGAAAAAGTTATGGTTTTATGCTATTAGTGCCTATAGTATATAAAATCTTAAGAAGATTTTTAAAATGCTGGTAATTGTCATACCTTGGGCCTGAAAGGGTTAAATAGTTATAAAGTAGTTCATCAACTTAGAAACTCTAATAAACCAGGTGGAGGAGTATGCATCTTTATCCACAATTCATTGTTTTATAAACCGCAAAGTGATCACTGTACAGCAAGTAATGATTGTGAGTCACTGACAATTGAAATATTCAGTAAAACTACCAAAAATATCATTGTGCATGTTTTATTCAGACCGCCCTCAGGTAATATGAAAATATTTGATAAACACATAAAAAATTTAATTACAAATAAAGATGTTTGTAGTAAATGCGTTTACCTTGTGGGCGATTTGAATCTAAATGTATTAGAATATGACTCAAATAAAAACTTTAGAAACTTCCTTAAATTAGTATTTCAAAATAGATTTGTTCCAATTATAAATAAACCAACTAGAATTACCAAAAATAGTGCAACCTCGATAGATCAAATTATAACAAACAAATTTACTAACACAAAAGTTAAAACTGGAATATTTATATCCGATACATCGGATCATTTTCTAATTTTTATTGCAACTCAAAAATGTAATCTTTCAAAAAACTCACAAAAAGTAAAAATAACTAAGCGAATCATTAATAACGTTTCTGTCGAACTTTTTAATCAATCTTTATCTTCTGAAAACTGGGAAAATATTTTACAAATAAAAAGCACTAACAAAGCTTATGACAGTTTTCTTCAAATATTTCAAAAACATTGCAATAATATATTTCCAGAGATAACAAAAATTATTAAATCTAAAATGTATTTGAACCCATAAATAACTACCGGAATATTAAAATCATCAAAAAAGAAACAATGTTTGTACGAAAAATTTCTTAAAAAAAGAACGTTTGATAATGAACCTATGTATGAAAAATATAAAGGTATTTTTGAGCAAGTTATAAATCGTTCAAAAAATATATTATTCAAATCAATTACTAAAATTCAAAGGCGACACTCAGAAAACCAGGAATGTCTTAAAGATTTAATTGGTAAAAAAAGGTATCAACTACTTGTCTTCCAAAAACAATAAACTTTAATGGCATTGATATACTTAATGAATCAAAAATTGCAAAAACATTTAATCAAGTTTTTGTAAGTGTAGGATCAAATTTAGCCTTAAAACTAAAACCTGGTAAATTTAGCGAAGATTCATATTTAACTCCTAACAATACAATAATGACCAACAATAAACTGACAAAAAATGAGTTATTAATTGCTTTTCAAACGTTAAAACTAAACAAATGAATAGGAGTTGATGAAATAAACAGTAATGTTGTAATAAAATCTATGCATTATTTAATAACACCACTGTTGCATATTTTTAATATTTCTTTAAAACAAGGAATATTTCCAGAAAGTTTTAAAACTGCAAGATTTATACCGGTTTTCAAATCGGGTGATTCTTCTAATGTCTCTAATTATAGACCTATTTCCATTCTTTCTTGCTTCTCTAAAATTCTGGAACGAATAATGTATAACAGGGTTCCCACACCTCCTTAAAAACCTTAAATATCCTTAAAAAAAATTAAAATTTGACTGCTCTCCTTAATTTCTCCTTGTTTTTTTTAATCATCTAGAAATTTTTTTTAAAGTGAATGGATTATACTTGTTAATAAAGAAGATAATATATAGATTTTTAATAGTTTTCAAACCTATTTTTGTTATTATATATATTAATATATATATATATATATATATATAAATATATATATATATATATATATATATATATATATATATATATATATATATATATATATATATATATATATATATATATATATATATATATATATATATATATATATATATATATATATATATATATATATATATATATATATATATATATATATATATATATATATATATAAAGTAATAATAATTTCTCTGTTTATATTTAAAATTCATTGAAAAAATAAGACTATGTTTTTAATGAAATTATTCTTACTTTTTTTTAAGTTAATTATTCTTACTTTTTCTTTCAAAAAAATGTCCTTCGCGACCAAATCTCCTTAAATATTAGGAAAATATCTTCTTAAATCTCCTTAAAATCCTTAATTTTAGCCTTAGTTTTAATAGTGGGAACCCTGTATAATAGACTATTCTCTTTTCTAGAAACAAATAATATTTTATACAACAAACAATTAGGGTTCAAAAAAGGTCATTCAATTGATCATGCTATTCTTAAACTTGTTCACAATATTTTTCGAGCCTTTGATAAAAAAGAGTATACATTAAGTATTTTTATAGACCTTAGCAAAGCCTTTGACACAGTTGACAACCATATTTTATTTAAAAAACTATTAAATTACGGAGTTAAAAATGCAAATATAGTTTGGTTTAAAAAGTCTTTGTCTAATAGAAAGCAGTATGTTTCTTATGATGGTGGTAAAACTAAAAATAAGACAATCACTTGTGGAGCTCCTCAAGGATCCATTTTAGGACCGCTTTTGTTTTTAATATACATTAACGATTTAAGCAAAGCCTCAAATATTTTAGACTCTATTTTGTTTGCTGACGATACCAATTTATTTTATTCCCATAGTAATATAAAAGCCCTATTTAAAACAGTCAACAAAGAACTGTTAAAAGTAACTGAATGGTTTAATACAAATAAATTGTCATTAAACTTTTTCATCGCTTTTATCAAAGAGACGAAATTCCTCTAAAGCTCTCAAATGTTAGCATTGGGAATCAATTTATAAAAAGAGAACACTCAATGAAGTTTCTAGGAGTTCTTCTTGACGAAAATGTCACATGGATAAACTACATAAAATTAATCGAAAATAAAATTTCTAAAAATATTGGCATACTTTATAAGGTAAAACCTTACCTAAATCAAATTTGTTTAAAATATATCTACTTTACTTTTATCCATTGTTATCTCAATTATGCTAACATTGCTTGGTGCAGCACCAATAAAAAAAAAAACTAAGCAAACTATTCAACATACAAAAACATGCCATAAGAATTATATCCAACGCAGACCGTCTCTCTCATTCACAACCACTATTTATTAATCTAAAATTTTTAAATATTTACCAAATAAATTTATATCATCATTTAATTTTTATGTATAAAATCCATAACGATACGATGCCCCAAATATTTTTAAAACGGTATTTAAAAAAATACACCAAAAATATCTTACTAGACATGCAAACAATAATTATATTCAAGATAAAACTCACTTTGAAGCCACTAAGTTTTCTATCACAGCTAGAGGCCCCAAACTATGGAGTATAATAATTAGAAATGATATCAAAACGCTTGCAAACTTAAATATTTTTAAATCAAAACTAAAAGAAATAATTTTAATTAATCAAAACATAAAGAACTTCTTCTAGAGCTATACTTAATTGTTGGCTTTTAAAATATTGTATAGTATATTTTCATTTTATTTGCAAAGGTTTAAAAATTTGGTTCTTTAAAAACTTATTTATTATTATTATAAAAATCTAAAAATTTTACTTAAAATTTTTAAATTTCCTAATTAGGAATTCTTAATCGCAATAATTAAAAACTGTTATATATAGTCTTGAATATATATATATATTTTTTCGTTTGTTTATTTTTATTTTTGTGCTTAGTATTCAATTAATATTAAAAATACATTTTAGAGTTTATTATCTTTATTTAAAAATATATATATTTTATTTTTATATTTGACAACATTTTTAATGACAAAATTTGATGGTTATATTATTTACGGATTATTGGGGGGTTGGCAATAAGACTATATTGTCTTCTTCTTGCCCCCGCCATGTGTATATTTTACAAATACGAGAGTTGTAATTAGGGGTCGTCCATAAAGTACGTACGCTTTTTTTCGCTAACCCCCCCTCCCCCGCAATTTCCCGTACGCTTTTTTGAGTACTCTCTACCTCCTTAAAAGAACCTACGCTTTTAACCTAATAACCCAACATTTTATGATATTTTTTTAAATTTAGTGTCACCATACTTTTATAATTGACCTAATGCCCCCTTATCTCAGAAACGCCATTTACAGACCTCCTCTTCCTCTCCGAGCGTACGTACTTTATGGACGATCTCTTATTTTAAACGGCAAATTTATAATAATAATAATAATAATAATAATAAAAGGCATATTTTCACAAGTTAAAATATATCTGCATGTATTTGCAGCTCGTGTTTTTATCACAATATGATGGTTACATAGTGAATTCAAATATTTTTTCAAGCTTGGCATGTAATTTAATTATAAAAAAATTTAAATTAAATTTTAATGAATATGGAAAAAAAAAAAAAGTTGTTTCTAATTAACAGTGGCGGACTGAATTAGTTTTAAAAAAATATACCATGGAAAAAAGATAAACATTAACGCTTTTGACTTCGCTGTCTACGTTTTT